GCACCACAGCACGCGCATGTTCCTCTACGCCGCATCGTCACGTCGGGCGCATTGCGCGCGCAGGCATGCGACATCCCCATGTGTCACTGCTCTGCCTAGCGTCCACGTCCCGCCGAGGCGACACAGCGCCTGCTGCTCGCCTTGCCATTGCCTCTACTTCCCTTGCTCTGCCCGCACGTGTAGCCATTTCCGTGGCGTCTTTATCCTCTTCTATTGAATGACAAGCGCCACGCTGCACTCCCCAATCACCTCCGCCTTAAATGGCGTCGCGCCGGCATCACCGGGCCACACCTGAGCCATCTCGCAGCGCCCGGTCTAATCCAAGTAATTACGTGCGCCAGATTGATTGAGTGGGAACCTAGCTACGCGCCAAGCCCGTCCACTGCTACTGTCGTACCGTGTTGAGCTCCAATTTGGAGCTTTCTCCACCGTCGGCCAACTTAAGGCCGAACGACGGCACTCACCCAATTCGCCTCGCACTGTCCACCTCCATTCAATTACTTGGCACTATGTCTTCGCCCTGTTCCTCTCCATCCCGTGCGCACCCCATTTTCACCACCATTGCCTTCCCGGCGCCGCTGACATGGTCGCGCCACCGTCGTCCGCCGTGAAGCTTGCCGTGTGCGCGTGGCCGAACTCACCCGGTCTGTCCCTGGTCAAGCCACCACGTCAGGTAGGTGTTGGGTGAGTTGTTGATGCCCATTCTTGGGTTAGCTCATGTCATTTGTGCCTTGGCTCATGGGAACATGGCCGCTGCCGTTGTAGGGGGGAGTCCGCATCGTGGAGAGAGCTCTAGATCGCGTCCCCGTTCACCGCTTCACCTCCCACCGATTCGCGTTTGCACCTAGGTGAGCATCGGCTCGCTATTGGGGACGGGAAGGGGCTAGGCTTGCTGGCGGGACCGCCCTGTGCCAATGCCGCCGCGTCGGTGCGCGCGCGGGTGCTCGAGGACCTGGCCATGGTAAAGACAGTTTGTCCCGAGGGCTTATCTGTAAAGCGCTGGTTGTAGGAATAGTTCTGTGAACCTCGGGGTGATTCATCGGTAGCTTCGAGGACGTTTTCGCAAAAATGACCGTGGCGTCTGAACCTCCCCTCCGTCGTGGGCCATCGCCCAGCATGGTGGGGGGCGCCCACATGGGCAGCGTCGATGGATCGCGCGCTTGCTGCGATGATGCACGGGAGTGGCCAGCGCCAGCTTCGCTCATGGTCGCATGGGTTGAATTCAATTTTTCTTTTTTCCAGAGAATTAGTAAATGTTTATTCAATTTAGTTTTGAGCTGATATTTGAAAAATTATAGTAAATTTTGTAGGTGTCCAAAAATAGTGAAACAAAATTTGTTAGGTTCACAAAAATGTTATCTATCTGTTGGTGTAGTAGTTTACAGTTATTTGTGATAATGATAGAATCATTAATTCATTTAGGAACACTTAATATTATCTAGCTTATTATTTGTGGGAATTTTTGTGACAAATTGATGATAGCTTTAGCCATGAAATTTTTATAGTAGGTTCATTAGGTTATTATGTGCTCACTGTAATTTTTGTAGCCTTAGAATATGTTGATAAATATGGTGGCTAGTACTCCTGGTTTTAGTATATATATATAGTAAATCGATATTAAGAGTAAGAATGCCTTTAATTGCTAAGTTAATACATGAAATATTTCATACCTATTTAGTGAAAATGATAGACAACTTAGCGTCTTAGTCGGTAGAGCTAGCTTAGTAGTTTGATAGATGTATTCTTATTTTAAGAGTTGCTGTTGCCGTATTATTAAGTGTTGCATCATTATTTCATGCATGTAGATAACGAGTTGGTAGAGTTCATGCCTGCGGACGTACGAGGAGATCATCGAGGAATACGAGGAGGAGATTCTCGTACAGAGAGGGAGCTTCGGAGCCATCAGTTGCTGACTTTATTGACTACATATATATATGATGTGTATTTACGTTGCAGGCATTTTATAGAAATTACATGCATGGATATACCTACCTATGAGTCCTACTAGCATAGGTCGAGTAGATGCTATGCTTAAGATTTTTGGTAGTGTGAGTAACCTATCGTTACTCATAATAGGTGATTATTTTGATCACTCACGATAAAATGGTGAAAGAAAAAATAGAGACCGGCAAGGATATGGTTTGGGTATTAGTGTGGGTGTAAGAGGTTGTGTCCTGCGGCCAATAGGGCATAGCCTGGTTACACTGTTTCCCTGTCTGTGTCGAGTTAAGGACCGGCCATTGTATTGGGTTCTAGGCAAGTCACAGACTTATTATCCCAAGCACATACATGTGTATGGGTACAGAGAAGGCTTGTTGCTTTCTTGTTGTGGGTTTTGGCTCTTTCCGGACCGACTGATTAGAGGCGGAGATGATGGAGGTCTAAGCATCGCACTGAGTCCGGGACTTAGGAGTGGGGTCTTAGAGTCCAAGTTTGGATGGGGACCTAGACCCCATGATAGGAGAGTGGTGGGTTGGTCCTGCTTGTTCCTAGGGTACAAGCGGGGCATGTGTTTTGGGGTACCTAGCCAAGCACATTGATTCATGAATCGCCTGACGATCCATTACAACTTATCTACAATCTAGCACCGTAGTAAGAACTGAAAGAGGAAAGGTGGTGAAGTGGAATTGTTTGCTCAAATCTTGCTTGAAAGTAGAACAGATGCTTACATAGAATGGTTAGATAAGGAACTAATCATGAATGCTAATAATTAACATATATAAGGATTCACCATTAGTATTGTTTTCTGCCAAAAGGAACCCAGCAAACCATAAAACTTATCATATTTCTTGGAGTCGGAAAATTATTCCCACTAATCAGATAAGTCTTGCGAGTACATTATGTTCTCAGGGTTTATTTACCCCTATTGCAGGTACTGCTTGAGGAGTAGCCATTGTGTGAAGGATTCTTCTGGTGGGCATAACGGGTCCTTGTATATTATCGATAGACGTTTCTTTTCATTCCGCTGTTAAATTTCCGCACTCTGAATTTGGTACTGTAATAATATATTTCTAAGAACTCTGGATGTATAAAATGGACTAAGTAATGTAAACTCGTTCTCATTATTGAATCCTGAGAGAAAATGTGGATCATTCGGGCTCTCCCTTAGGGTGTGCTCGACGAAATCCGCCGATATACCTCGTTCTCGGGGTGCTTAGTGTCTAGTGAAAGACAAGCATCTCCGTAAGTGCGTTATTTCGAGCGGTTCTGCCACACTGCCGCACTTGGGTCATGGGCTCCGTCTCGCCCGACCCCTTGGGTGCGGGCTCCGTCTCGCCCGACCCTAAGGTCACGAGCTCCGTCTCGCCCGATCCTAAGGATGTGGGCTCTCCTCGCCCAACCCCAAGGACCGGGCTCCGTCTCGCCCGACCTTGAAGTCACGGGCTCATTCTCGCCTGAACCCTTGGATGCGGTGACCATTGGGGGCTGGGGGTATATATATACCTTTCCCCTTCCTCTCTAACAACAATCCGCCTCTTCTTTCTCACTTCAGAACGCTCAAAACAGAGCAGAAGCGCGCTCTCTCTCTCTCCCTCCATTGTTGACCTCAATTCCCCAAGTAAATCCATTGATTTCTCCATCAATCCTTGAGGGAAAAGGGTCAAAAACTCGATTAGAGAGCAGCTCCATTGATTCCCCAATACTAAAGAGCACTTGGTTCACGTTTTGGTCGGCGGTTGTGTTTGTTATTCTTGGAGCTTGGCTCCTAGCCGGTTAGAACGTTGTCCGTGGAGCTTGCCAACTTATGTGGCAGCTCCGGAAGGTTTGTAACCATCTCTTGAAATTAGTAATCTCACCCCTCATCTCAAGAGTTAAGTCTCTTGACTTGAGAACAAGGAAGGGTTGGAAATTCCTAAGCCTTAGTGGCTAACCTCAACAACATGGAGGTAGGCAAGCCTTGGTGGCGAGCCAACCACGGGATAAATCTTTGTGTCACTTATGCTTGATTCATATTATTTGCATGACATATTATGGTTGAGGTGATTTCTATAGTTTCTAGTCGATCTACTTGTATGTGGTGTTCCTACCACTTCTAGCTTTTGATCTGTGATTGTCATACCTGCAGTAAGCTAGAAAATTTTCTTCGATCTAAGTTTTCGTTCACGGATTTTGAACTGTGATTTAAAGTTGTCTGCAGGTATGGCAGTGCCGCTGTTCTGGCTTGGCAGTGCCGCATTCCGGCAGTGTCGCCCTCCAGAGCGACAGTGTCACTTGGTGAATTTGATAAAAGTTTGAGTGTTTGTTTTGACAGCCCATTCACCCCCTCTAGGCCAACCAGAGATCCTATAGGATCGGACGAACAGACCTTTCTTAGTGAGATTCCATCGAAAAACATCCTTGTCATCTGTCAGAACTTGTACTACTTTTGGCACTAGGTCGAGCCAAGCCATCCGGTTTGTATTAACCAAACCATATCTAAATGACACGTTAAGTGATATAGACCTAAGGACAAACCAGTATCATCTTTGCGCCTCACAATTCGAAATAGGCAGAATCGTACTTGTTCCCCGTTTTGCACTATAAATGTGCCACAGGATATGAAATCATCTTTAGTCTTCGTGAGTCCGTTCCAGAAATGTAAATCCCCGGACCTATGCTGTAACTTGGGTTAGTGGTTCGTTGGACAAGTATTTTCTTCTTAGGAGGTCTTGCCAGGCCCATCCTCATTTATGAGCCTAAACGGCCACTTGCTGTGATTCCATATATCAAGCGTAAATTTAAAATAAGAAATATGGGTAAAAGTAGCATAAAAGAATGAATCACGATGCCGGCCGGGCTACAACCAAAGTCTCCTCCATTGTAATAAACAAATTAAATCCTGCCTGCGGATTTATATTTATTTTTTAATTAACATACGCCGACACGTTGTGCGCCTGATCTCCATTCCCTTGGATCCGTTGCTGTCTGCATGCACCACACCACCTGTGTACGGCAGGATGCGTTGTGGTTGCTCACCCTAACGTGCGTTTTTTTTAAGTCACAAAAAAAGTGCGTTTTTTTTATATACATACCTGTATTTCATTAAAAGAAACGTACAAAGACAAGTACAAATACAGGTACAGACACGAATACAGAGGATACAAAGGAACAGCTGTTCCACCAAACTAACACAAATGCTCCTAGAAAAACGAAAGATTGCAAGTGAGTAGGAGCTTCCGTGTTTGCCGAAGAAATCGTCGGAAGAAGGCGATGACAGCAAGCACAAACCCGGATCAGGGATAGCACCATCGCACAAAGGCTTTGAAGGGAGCCGCAGTAGCCACCCGTCCCAAAAGACGGGATTGAACAAACCATGAAGATGCATCGGCCGGGGATACACCCCATGCGTACCTGATCCTGGAGCCGTTCATGCTGCCGGAGAGCAGCAAGAAAGCCAAGCAGCTCCACTCTCCACCACACCAGGAAACCTCCAGCGGCCCCTTTGTAAACTCTGCACCACCTCGCCGTTGCCACCATTGGATCCAGACGAGGCACCGGACGAGACAAGACTCCTGTACAAGAGCCACCAGGAAACGATGCCAAGGCACCAGATCCGGTAGCCACCACCCTTACTGACCTCTCACCGGTACCGGAGCATGCACCGACGAAGCGAGCCCGAGGCCGAAGGGACTTACTCCACAGCGACAAATGGCACACCCGTCTCACCATTGCCGCCCGGACACTCTAACCTAGAAAAACTAGGATCTAAACGACCGACCGGTGAAAGATCCACAGTCTTCCCCACCTCCCGACGCCAGGACGGCCGTCGAACGCGAGGAAGACCACCGATTCCACCGGCGGGGAGACCGGGAAAACAGGCGCCGCTTTGTCGCCTCTCTGTCCTGTAGCCACGGGACGGTTCGAGAGAGACCCCAGACTCACGTGGGTTCTCTAGCTAACGTGCGTTTTTCTACTACTAGAAGAAAACTGCTGCGAGCGACGTTTTCAGCACAGGTCAAGCAAGGAGCCAAAAACACACATTAGCCGTGTCCACGTTCTACAAAACTACTGCGAATCTGCGATCCATGTGTTCAAAGTCAGGTCAGGACAGAGATTCCTCCGGCATGTATATATATATGGCGCTGTTGGCATCGCATCTACTACTGTCCTCCATGGTCCAAGCAAGAATTGTACTACTACTACAGTAGGAGTAAACCGCCTCGCTGCATGCGGCACACCCATGTGGGTATGCCTACATGGCCCCATTCATCAAGTCCTGTCTGGTGTCTGCAATGTGCAATGTTCGCTTGGCTGATAAGTCATGGCTGAAAATACTGTTGGCTGATTTGTTGTGATAGAAAAATACTGTTCGTAACCTGAAAAAGTATAGCTTATAAACAAAGCGAACCGGGCGCATATCTTTCTACTGCTCTTGCTGTCTCTCCGCGCATCAAAAGACACGAAAGCTTTGGCAAGTCAAGTGCCTCTGCCGAGTGTCGAGGCCGAGCCGAGCTATAGCTTTCTTTCTGTACTCTCAAAGCGAGAGTAATAAGGGCCTGCCTGTCCAGCTCTTCAACTGTCGTGGTCAAACAAAACTATTGAGAAGCTAGCTACCACTAACACATTAGACTACTCAACTAATCTCAGTTTGATTTGACAAAAATAAAGAGATTCCACCTAATTACAGTACTAACTAAATCATCGGCTGACGAACAAGAATCTCGCTGCCTAATCACCAACCATCAACACCCAACAGGCCAACAGAGAGGGCAACCACGCCACGACGAGGACCGGAGGACAGACTCGGTCGCCACTCGCCGCGGGCAGGAGTGCACGACCACCGGAAAAGGTCAGGACAGGCACAGGTGGTCTGGCCCAGCTCACAACTGGAATGCGAGACATCTCTATTCCTTTCCCTTCCTGTCTTCCGGGTGCTGCTCGCCTGCTCCTTCCGGGCTTCGGGCTCGGATCGCGCGCGACACAGCCTTGGAGCCCGCGATACGGAGAATGGGACAGCACGGGCGAGCAGAGCGGTGGAATGCCCACTCTGCCCTCCGCCGCTCCGCTTGTCGCTGCACGAGGAAGCCTGAACGGCCGAGGGCATAGAGGCGTTTTCACCCACCAACCTGCAGGCTGCAGGCCGGCCGAGGCAGCGCCGAGCCCGAGCTGGCAGCCAGCCTTGAGCCTTGTGCGTCCGACGAGGTCCATCTGTCAGCACCTCATAAAAGAGGCAACAGAACGTGCCTTTTTTCTTTCCCAAAAAGCCCCCCGGAAATATTCTTCCCTCCCATCCCACACGCGCAGTGGGAAAAATCGCCCACGCGTTGCGTCACATCGCTACGAGTATCCAGCAGCGCAGCGCTCCAGCAGCCTCCATCCAGGCTTCCCAGCAGCCGGGGCCGGTGAATTACAGCGACTGCGGTGAGGCGACCGTTGCGGTGCCGTGCATTAAACTACCCTGCCGCCCCCTGTCCCCCTCGCCCCCGCCCCCGCCCCCGCCCCCGCTCCACGCCGCGGCACCCGCACCCGCACCCGCGCGGCACGGTGTCCGGACGGTGAGCTGGGTTGAGTCGAGCACTTGAGCTGAGCCGGCCGCGCGCGGAGGCGATCGCGTCGCCTCCGGCCTCCAGGAGTCCAGGTGGGTGGATCCGTCCCCGTCCTCGCTTCGGCTTTCTCGCCCGAGTTGCTGCTAGTTGCCGCGTCTTATCCTCGTTTGCCGGCGTGATCTCCGTCTCGGCGTTAACAAAGCTGTGATCTTTCTCAGGAGCTTGATCTGATCGGCCGGCCTCCTGCGCGACGCTGTATCTCCGCTTCTCTTTTTTTTTTATAATTTTCCGCAAATCCCCTCGCGCCGGATTTGACTGAAGGAATTGGTTGTCTTCGTCTCGCGTTGAAGTAGATTCGGTCAAAAGCCAGACCGATTTTTTCTGCCTGCCTGAGCTCCGTTCGGTGTAAGGGGAATTTTTCTGGTTTGGTTTGGATCCGAAAGGCTGTGCATTGGCTACGACAACTGGTGGAAAGCGGTTGGGTTGGTCATTAAATCTCCGCTGCTAAAGTTTCTGCTCCCTGAGCTCAGTTGGATCGGAGAGTTTTGTTCAGTGTATACCCATCCTAAAACAGGGCGAGTTCGGCCGTGAATTGTTGACTTGTGCTGTTTGATCCCAATTGTATCAAAAAATTCGTTTTTTGGGCTACAAGAGAGTAACAACAAGGAGGCTCGGTCAGCTCGTTCTTTTTGTTGTCCACCTGTTTTGCGAGTGCTTGAGGAAGAAGACAACTTGCTCAGCTCGTTCTTTCGTTGTTGATCGAATCAAAAGACTAGGGAAATGGGGGTAATGTCACGGCGGGTTCTGCCCGCCTGCAGCAGCCTTTGCTACTTCTGCCCCTCTCTGCGGGCGCGCTCCCGGCAGCCTGTCAAGCGGTACAAGAAGATCATAGCAGACATCTACCAGCTGCCACCGGTATGTCAAATTCTGCAGTGCGTTTTGCATTTCAGTCATTTTCTCAATCCTAGTTGTATTCTGCGAGGGAATTGGATGACAATTGAAGTTTTGATGATGTTTTAGGATGGAGAGCCAAATGATAGAAGGATTGGGAAGCTCTGTGATTATGTCTCGAGAAATCCAACACGCATACCAAAGGTAACACACTCAACATCCTCCTCTTTTTTCGTAGAATGGAAACACTCAATCATTGCAGATGTTCCCAGTAGTTAGGGCTGAACTCAAGGCAGTGAAAAATCGAATGCAACAGTGCAAGCACAACGGAGAAAAACCCGAAATGTCTTGAGTTGAACTGAATAATCACCACAATGGAAAAGCTGATGCATTTGTTCTGTACTTAATGCTAAATTGCTAACATGTCAAGAAATGAAAGGATGAGCTTGGTGAAACCATGATCCATGGTCAGACACTCACACTTGCGTCTTGTTTGTGCAGATCACAGAGTATCTTGAGCAGAGATTCTATAAAGATCTGAGGCACGATAATTTTACGTTGGCCAAAGTTGTGCCATGCATCTATAGGAAACTTCTTTGTTCATGCAAGGATCTCAGGTAAGCGTTAAAGTTCTGTTCTGCTAATGATGCATTCATAACCATCCCTTGCTCCTGTGCTTATCATAATTATTCCTAACTCAGGCCATTGCTAGCCACAAGCTCATTAAGCACCATTCGCACTCTTCTTGATATGAAAGCACATGATGATCTACAGGTTCTGGGTTGTCTTATGCTTGTTGACTTCCTCAATGGCCAGGTTGTTTACATAACTTGCAACAATTTACTTTTACTGGTAGATGTTCCCATATATTTAATTTAATTTGACATGTTTTGTAGGTTGACAGCACACATATGTTTAATTTGGAAGGTCTCATACCCAAACTTTGCAAAATTGGTCAACAATTAAGGGGAGATGATGAAGGGCTCCGTCTTCGATCTGCAGCTCTTCAGGCTCTTGCTTCTATGGTAAGACATTTTTTTTTTCAAAATTGTTCCTATGAATGGTATAAGGTCTTCATTGCAGATATATTGGCTCGACTACATTGTTATAATTTGAAGGTTTTTAGGTCCAATATGTATATTACATTTAGTCTCAAGATTTAGTTTTCCTTGTTGCTTTGCAGGATCCTTTTTTCTAGCAAAACATATCATCAAAGTAATATAGCATAATCAAGTAGGATAAAAGGAAAACATTGCTTTTGTTTTGTTCCGTTGACAGCCCGTCGTCCTATATTTACTTGTGTCAATATTCTTCTTCATGTCTAAATTACCCAGTATACCTTGTGCCTAATATTCTTTTTGCCTTGTGTGCACCATCTAACCGTGCCATCTCTTGTAATCAGGTCCAATACATGGGTGACCACTCACACATTTCAATGGAACTTGATGAAGTAAGTCTTTGTTACTTTTATATTGTAACTAGGTGCATAATTAATTTATTCATGGTTATCTCTCGAACCAACTAGGATCCGTTTAGGTAGTTGGAATGTAGGGTCACTTACAGGTAAGTTAAGAGAATTAGTTGATACCGCGACTAGGAGGCGTGTAAATATATTATGCGTTCAAGAGACTAAATGGAAGGGTCAGAAGGCGAAGGAGGTGGACAATCTGAGTTTCAAGCTTTGGTACACAGGACGGTCATGCGAATAGAAATGGAGTAGGAGTTTTGATTGATAAGAGCCTCAAGAATGGTGTGGTGGGAGTGAGAAGGCAAGGAGATAGGATTATCTTAGTCAAGCTTGTCGTTGGTGATATGGTCTTGAACGTAATTAGTGCGTATGCCCCCCAAGTAGGCCTCGACGAGAGTGCTAAGAGACAGATTACTGGAAGACTTAGATGGCACAGTTAGAGCTATACCTAGTAGTGAGAATCTTTTTATAGGAGGAGATCTTAATGGGCATGTAGGTACTACAAGCTACGTGTTTCGAGGCGATTCATGGAGGTTTTGGGTATGGTAGTAGGAATCGGGAGGGGAGGAAGTTCGGACTTCATGCGGTAGCTTTGACCGATGGTAGTCAACACTTTCTTTAGAAAGAGAGAATCTCATCTAGTGACCTTGATGGCGGACAACACTTGTGCTGATTGACTTTGTCCTCGCAAGAAGAAACGACAAACGAGCATGCTTGGATTGCAAGGTGATACCAAGGGAGTGTGTTGTTTCTCAACATAAGCTTTGGTGGCAAATTTTCGTTTTCAGTGCGTGCCGTGTAGGGATAAAACAAGCTAAGATTCA